CTCGACCACAGCCCCAACGCGGTGCGCCACGCGCTGCCCAGCGGCGAGACGTTCATCGTCCGACCTCCGCCGACTTCGGGCACCGTCGCGTCGACGACGCTGATCCCGCAGCCGCTCCTCTCGGCGCCGACGCCGACGCCGGCGGCCGAGGCGGCGGACCGCGACGCCCTGGCCGCGCTGCCGCCGGCGCTCAAGCGCAACACGCGCAAGGGCGCCAAGATGCTGACGTCGGAGCAGATTGCCGAGGTGCAGCAGCTGCGCCAGCTGGACCCGATCAACAACACGGCGGGCCGGCTGGCCAAGCGCTTTGGCTGCACGCCCCTCTTTATCCAGATCGTCGCGCCGGCGCCCAAGGTGGTCAAGGAGGGCAGGCTGGCCGACGCCAAGCTGCGCGAGCTCACCTGGGGCGCCAACAAGCGTCTGGCAAAGGCCGAGAGGGACGAGAGGCGGAAGCTGTGGTGATGGCGCCTTGCCGTCCCCTGCCGTCGATGTCCCGTTGTCGTTTTGTTCTCGAGCAGCCTTGTTTGTATAGAGGGGAGCCGGATGCAATCGTCCATCTCGCGGAGATCCGTTCCGTTCCGTTGCGTCGCGATCGTGAGGGCACTGCCGGAGGATGTTTCAGCGTCGTCGTCGTGGGAGGGGAGAAGGACCAGGACGGCGCGACAGAGGCTTGGAGACCGCCCACCGTCTGGACCCCATTGGCCCCCCTCCCCTCTCCCGTACACGCGCACGCGCCGAGCCACGCACGAACGCAAGGGGTGGGAGCTGTTGAATGCTTTCGTTATTACTTGCGATAACAGGAAGAGGGAGGGATGCCGGTTGAATGCAGGGGGATAGCTGGGGAATGGAGTTTTTGGTATCGTGTTGAAGAAATACAGCGGTCGACTCGATGGTCGCCGAGAGAGGGAGAGGTTGGAGAGAAAGGAGAGGAGCTGGAGGGAGAGGGGAAGGGAGGAAGGGGGGCGCCCTGGCGAGAAGGGGATCTCGCCTTCGTTTTGTATGAAGCGGGACAAGTACAGGTGACGCGAGAGAGAGAGACGAGAGCGATGCGGAGAGACGAGGGGGAAAGGGGACAGCTTAAACCTTCAGGGGACCGACGTCGGTGTCGGGGCAGTTGATGCCCCTACGGTGACGGACGGAGGACGAAAGGGTGAGAGGGGTGGCGAGTCGAGGCGAGGGGGAACGAGACGGGAGCACAAGCGCGCACACGCGCTCAGGCGAGCGTCTTGCGGCATTCCTCGGCGGCGGCCACCATGTTCTGGAGCTGGGCGGTGCACTCGTCCCAGGTGCGGGTCTTGAGGCCGCAGTCCGGGTTGACCCAGATCGACTCCTTGGGCAGGACGGCGGCCATGGCCTTGACGCGCTCGACCATCTCGTCCTTGTTGGGGACACGGGGCGAGTGGATGTCAAAGACGCCGGGGCCGATGTGCGACGGGTAGCCGACGCGCTTGAACGAGCCGAGGAGGTGCTCGCCGGACTTGGAGTGCTCGATCGAGATCATGTCGGCGTCGAGCTCGATGATCGACTGCATGATCTGGTCAAACTGCGAGTAGCAGAAGTGCGAGGCGATGTTCATGGCGTCCGAGGCGCCCGACGTCGAGAGGCGGAACGAGTCGACGGCCCAGCGGAGGTAGCCGTCCCAGTCCTTCTGGCGGAGGGGCAGGCCCTCGCGGATGGCGGGCTCGTCGACCTGGACGGCGCGGACGCCGGCCTTCTCGAGGTCGATGACCTCGTCGCGGAGGGCGAGGGCAATCTGCTTGGACTGGACCTCCTTGCTGATGTCGGCGCGCGGGAACGACCAGTTGAGGATGGTGACGGGGCCGGTGAGCATGCCCTTCATGGCCTTCTTGGTGAGGCTCTGGGCGTACGACGACCAGCGGACCGTCATCGGCGCCGGGCGGCTGACGTCCGAGACGACAATCGGCGGGCGGACGTAGCGCGAGCCGAACGACTGGACCCAGGCGTTCTGGGTGAAGACGAAGCCGTCGAGCAGCTCGCCAAAGTACTGGACCATGTCGTTGCGCTCGGGCTCGCCGTGGACGAGCACGTCGAGGCCGAGGGCCTCCTGCTTCTCGACGACCATCTTGATCTCGTCCTCGAGGAACTTCTCGTAGTCGGCCTGGCTGATCTCGCCCTTGTTGAAGCGCGCGCGGTACTGGCGGATCTCCTTGGTCTGCGGGAACGAGCCGATGGTCGTCGTGGGGAAAATGGGCAGGTTGAGGTGCTTCTTCTGAACCTCCTTGCGGACCTCGAACGGCGACTGGCGGGCCAGGTCCTGGGGCTTGATGTTGGCGACACGCTCGCGGACGGCGGGGTCCGAGTTCTTCTCAAAGTCGCGGCGGGCCTTGATGCTCTTCTCGTTGGCGGCGAGGCGGTCGGCGGCGCTCGAGGGGTCGCGGAGGGCGGCGGCCAGGGTGGCGACCTCGCCGCACTTCTCGTTGGCGAACGAGAACCAGTCGAGGACCTCGGGCTTGAGCTTCTTCTCGTTGGCGACGGTGATGGGCGTGTGGAGGAGCGATGACGACGAGGCGATCTGGACGCGCGAGGCGTCGCCGCCGAGGGCCTGGACGGCCTTCTGGGCGGTGGCGAGCGCGGCCTTGAGGTCCGTCTTCCAGATGTTGCGGCCCGAGACGAGGCCGAGCGAGATGACGAGCTTGGACGAGGCAAAGGTCGACAGGACCTCGTCGAGCTGCTGCGGGGCGCGGTCGAGGTCAATGTGGAGACCGGCGACGGGGAGCGTCTTGACAATCTCGATGTTGTCCTCGAGCTTGCCAAAGTAGGTCGTCAGGAGGATCTTGGTCTGCGGGGCCGCCTTGGCGATGGCCTCGTAGGCCGCCTTGAACTCGGACGCGTACTTCTTGGCGGCGTCGAGAACCAGGACGGGCTCGTCGATCTGGACCCACTCGGCGCCAGCGGCGGCGAGCTTGGCGAGCATCTCGCCGTAGACGGGGGCGAGCTTGGGGAGGAGCGAGACGGGGTCGAAGCTGTCGCTCGAGGCGTCCTTGCCCGCCTTGCCGAGGGCGAGGAGGGTGACGGGGCCGACGAGGACGGGGCGGGCGTTGTAGCCGGCCTCCTTGGCCTCGACAAAGTCGTCGACGGGCTTGGTGTTGTTGATCTTGAACTCGGTCTTCTCGCTCAGCTCGGGGACGAGGTAGTGGTAGTTGGAGTCAAACCACTTCTGCATCTCGGTGGCGGGCAGGTCGACGCCGTTCTTCTGGTGGCCACGGGCCATGGCAAAGTAGGTGTCCAGCGGGTCGAGGCCGGCCTGGGCGTACTGGGCCGGGATCAGGTTGAACGTGTTCGAGGCATCGAGGACGTGGTCGTAGAGCGAGAAGGTGCCGGTGGGGACGGTGTCGACGCCCTGCTCCTTGATCGACTTGTACGTCAGCAGCCTCTGCTCCTTGGCGACCTTGAGCAGCTCCTCCTGCGACGTCTTGCCGCCCCAGTAAGCCTCGAGGGCCTTCTTGACCTCACGCTGAGGTCCGATGCGGGGGTAACCCAGAACGGCGGAGGTGCTGCCAAGTAGAGCGGGGGCGCAGAGAAGGGGGCAGGGATCCGGTGGAAGAAGAAGCAAAGACCGTCAGCACGGGGTCTGTCGAAGCTAGCAAGCTTCGGTCGGCAAAACGGCCACGGCGAGGCCACCTGCGCTCTCGCCGTGACGTCCTACGCGCTGACCCCACTGCGTCGGACACTCACGCCATTGTGAATATGAAACGGGGGTGAGGGGACCGGGAAGGGGAAAGGGAACGGAAAAAGCGTGCAGGGACGAAGATGGCGGTGGGAGGTGGCCTTTCTAGGGGATTCTCTTTTCCAGGAAGCGCTATTGACCGGATGGAGTCAACAGGGAGTCGTGAGGTAGAAGAGGAGAAAGGAGATGGGTGGTGGAGGAGGGGGGAAGGGAGAAGGCAGCCGGCATGTAGGATCCAAGGTACTTGTAGTCTGGGGGGCGACGGGGCGAGGGGGCGAAGGGCGGGGAGCAGCGCCAGGGCACATCGACAGCTGGGAGCGGTCCCCTGCCTCGTTCTTCCTTCGTCCGCCTTCTCTCTCTCTCTTTCTCCTTGCGCTGCAGCCCGTTGCGAAGGCAGGCGGGGCAGGCGGGGCGCACACGCCAGCCGTGCCACCGCGAGTCGACGAGGAGAAGCGGCCAGGCGGGCAGGCGGCCAGGCGGCCAGGCGGGCAGAGGGGGCAGGTGCGAGCGGCGGCGGCGGGCCCTCATCTGGAAGAAACCGAGGAACGTTGGCTCGCCTGCCTGCCAGGCGGAAGTGGTCTGATGCCGCGCTTTCAAGTTTGTATTCTCCCGTCCAGCGGGCGGGGCCGGTTACAAAGGAAACGAAGCCTGCGCTCGAAATCTCGGGCCAATTGCAGCCTGGCTTCGAGGTGCGAATACAAACCCGTCCTGGTCGGCCCCATCGCCTTTCCCCCCGTCCCTCAGCTAGGCAGGGAGCGAGCACGGACCGCGCTGCACCGACCCCCTCTGCCTGGCAAGCAGCAGCAGCGAGCAACATCCAGCTCGAGACCGGCTCGTTTTGCTTGCCTGATGGCCCTCGCGCGCCGATCGAGGCAGACGGGCGGACGGGTGTCGCTCGACATGCCTAGCCTGGCTTGGCCTGGCCTGCCTCAGCGGGCCAGACACGCCCTGCCTCGTCCTCGTGTCTGTGGCGACGGTCTCTACAGATGTTGTCCGGCAGCAGCAGAGACCAGCGACGCCAGCCAAGCCCAAGCCAAGGCCTTCTTGAGCCTGGTTGGTTGCCCATGGATGGGGAAGGCGGGGGGCAGGCGACCGGAGGTCCTTTGTCCACGTCGACTGCGTGCAGCACCAGCAGCAGCGGCGACACACAGACGGCGCTGCACGTTCTTCCAGGCCCGCCCGCGCGCACGCACGCACGCACGGTGTCGCTCGACTCCCCAGCAGGCGTGAAAAGTGCAGCGAGGGGTCTGGGGCCAGCCGCCAAGAAGGAGAAACCCGAAAAAGCGCCGCGAAAATTGGGTGAAAAAACCCAGCCGACAGGCAGGCAGGCAGGCGGGGGGTGACTCGAGCACGGAGCAGCTGATTGCCCGTTTGGGTGCAGGCCACCAAGCCAGCCAGCCAGCCGACCGACCAACGAACGAAGAGGCGCCGTCCGCAAGCACGCCATTTCGGTGGCGGGCCTGGGGATGCGGAACGGCCGAGCCCGATCGATCACGCGACCGTACTTCCCGATCGCATCTATCGGCGCCTAGGTGCTGCGGCAGGTCGCCCGGACGATGGTTCTGCCCGACTCTGCGCCGCCGTGGGCTCTATTCAGGTCAAGATTGGTACATGTGCGATACGTAGCAGACGCTCGACGCCGCCTCGCCCGCAGCACCGCAAATACTGCGCCCCCCCCAGTGCCGCGAGACACCGGGTCCTCCATCCCCCTGGTCCCTCTGCCTCGACCCGCCCGGAGTCGTGGCCGTCACGGGGGCGGTCCATCCACGTACATGTCGAGATGGATGCGCACCACCCTCTCCACGGCCGCTCTGTCGAGCCGCTGCGACGGACCCTGCCTGCGAAAGGCGCACCACGTGCCGGAGTAGGCCTGCGTGTAGCACGCCGCAAAGTCGTCGTCGCCCTTGCGCAGCCCGCGCTCGGTGACCAGGATCGAGTAGACGAGCTTCTTGATCATGGTCCGGTTCGACCTCTCCACCGGGCTGAGCGGCGCCGCGGTCAGCGAGGCCGAGTTCGGCTGCTGCCGCTGCTGAGTTCCGAGCTGGGAGAGGAACGAGGCGTCCTCCTGCGTGTCGAAAAGCGGCAGCGACGGGAGCTCGGGCGTCATGGCCTCGCTCTTGACATCGCTGGGCGCGGGTGAAGGACGAGCGCTGCTGCTGATGCTGCCGCGCGACGCCGCTAGCAGTCGTGCGTGGAAGCTGCTGCCACTGCCGTCCAGCTGCACACGGTCCGCCTTTGGACCTCGCCGCTTGCTGGGAGACGTAGTGGCGCGGCCTGCCGGCTGACGGTCGACATCCTGCTCCTCGATGACCTCGTCGATGGCCAGCAGCCTGCGCGGCCGCTTCTCGCCGCGCCGGCCCGGCGTGTTGTTGGACGCGACAGCCTTGATCGCACCTCGGGGCAGGCCAGATCGGGCCGAAGGTAGGCTGCGCCCTTCGTCGCGACCATCGCCGCCACTGTTGCTCGAGGTGCCTCGGACGGCCGATGCCACCTGGCCCTGCGAACCTCGACGACTCGGCGGCGCCATCGACCCGGCCTGATCGCTACCGAGGGGCGAAGTTCCGCGCCTGTCGTCGATTTCGGTAGTCGCTGCGCCGGCGACCGACCTCGTCCGCTTGAGCGCCCGCGCTTGCAGCAGGGACGCAATGGATCCACGCGGCAGCGGGTCATCCGGACGCTGCCCGAGAGACGGTGGTCCGAGGCCAAACTGCGGAAGTGACAGACCCGCCTGCGAAAAGACCGAGTCGAGCGTCGCAGAAGCGTTCGAGCCCCTGCCGCGGCCGGAGCCCAGGACGGCGGTGTCCGAGGGCGGCTTGCGGGCAACGACGACCCTCCTTCCGATCACGAGGCTCAGCACCTTGGCTGCTTGTGGTGGCGCCTCTTTTGCGGCGGTCGTGGGCGCGGAACCAAAGTAGTCGAGACGGCGGGAAACGTCTGGCGTCGTCGGGGGCGCTTCAAGCAGCTGGCCGAAGATTGCAAATTCCGACGCGGCCGAGGAGCCACCAGACTGGCGGCGGTTCGGGCCGAGGCCGCTGCCGGACGCGGCATCGCCGTCGATGCTGCTGTCCAGGGAGATGGTGAAGATCTTCTTGCTCCTCGGCGGCGTCCCGGCTGAGCCGGGGACGAGTTCGGCATCTGAGCAAAAGTGTCGCTCGAAGAAGGTGACTGTCGAGAGCTCGCTCGGGTTGATGTAGACGCGAATCTCTCCGCTGGCGAGCCAGTGGGTCTCCTTGGTGCCGCCAAGCTGCGCCGAGGGCCTCTGGACCGGCTGCGAATGGCCGCCTAGGGATGGCTGGGGCATGCTGCTGCTCCGCGAGAAGCCTCTCGAGGCGCCGGCGGTTGGAAAGCTATCCGGAGAGGCAGGCCGGGCTCCGCGATCCTCGAGAATGGACGTGATACGCAAGCTGCGATGACGGACCATCTCGAGGGCCAGGCAGAGGCTCTCCTCGGCCTCGAGCTGGCCCCTGAGCGCGCCCTGGTCGCCAAAGGCGGAGTCGCCTGCAATGCCGAACGCGGCATCCGGTCGATGTTGGAACGGGTCGATGTGGGAAGCGAAGGCGATACCGGGCAGGAGGGTGCCGTCCGGGAGCGTAAGCGAGCTCTTCCAGAGCAGACGTGGCTTGGCCAAGGTGGTGCGCGGTGATGCGACCGAGGCGGGCGTGCAAGGCCCCTCGTTGCCGCCGCCACCGCCCTGGGACTCCCCGTAGGACCTTGTCGGAGCTAGAGCCTGGGCGCGTTTGGAAGATCGTTCGAGAGATGGGGCAGTTGCGTCGGCGGCCTGAGGCGAGGAGCTGGTGATCAGAGATGGGGGCGAGGCAGACAGCATCTGCCCGGCGTCATTGGGCGGCAGGCGGGCCGAGGGCCGCTCGATGTCTTCTCCAGTCTGTGGCAGCGGAGGGGGCGTGCACCGATGGTCGTTTCATGTCCGCATGGCGAGAGGGACGAAGCTTGCGGGCCCAGAGACCGAAGGTATGGCGGGGAGACTGGTGGTCCAAGCAACGCCGCACGCGCGCGGAAAGAGCGGACGGCGGGTAGGTTCCGGTGTGGTCCGGTGCAGTCTAGTGGGGTATGATGTTGGGCAACGAGCTCAGATGTGGTGAGGAAGGGGTCGATGGGGAGCTTGCCAGGCCTGGCCTGGCAACGCAGCGCGTGTGCTGCTCCTCGCGTTGGCAGCTGGGTTGGCCGGACGGGGCGAGCAGGCGGAGAGGCACGCGAAGAGGGGCCGCCGCCCTGCCTGATGCCTTGTCGCGGCCTTTTTTTGTTGCTTGCTGCTGGCTGGTTGCTTGCGGCCAGCCTCTGCCCTGCAAACCTCCACATCAGACGGAGCTGCAGCGGCGGCGGGCCGACGAGGGGCCTCTCGCCCACAACCAACGACAGCGCCGGTGACGCCGGTGGGGGACCATGGGGGTTGATGGCCCGAGCTCGTATTCTCCAACGCTGCTGTGCGTAGCTCTTCTACTGTACCACCACAACCATCGCGACCATCAGCTGGAGGCCCCTGTGATACCCTAGCCAGCCTAGCCACCGTTCCCTCCCCGCCACAACCCAGACACACCATGTTCTCTGCTAGCAGCAGCACGGGCGGCAAGAAGGCCAAGGCCAAGGGGCAGCAGCTCGACCTCTCGACCCTCGAGTCGTACTCGACCCGCTGGTCGCCTCACCTCAGGCTCGCCGCCTGCATCGCGGTCAAGTACGCCGTCCAGCGCTGCGTGCAGAGGTCAGAGGTGCTGGCGGCCGGGTCGTCGTCGTTGGCATCGCCGCCGTCGGCCTCGACCACCGCGACGCAGGCCGACGCTGCCGACGGCGGGCTGAGCTCGGGAGCGGCCACCGAGCTCGTCAAGGACTGGCGCGACTACGGCCAGAAGTTCCTCACCGCCACCTGCCAGCACCTCGGCGTACAGGAGCAGACCCTGCCACCGGAGCCCATCCGCCTCGAGGATGTGCTCACCGCTGCTCAGGGCAGGACCGTCGAGGGACATCCCAAAGCCATGCCCTCTGACTTCGAGCCGGAGTTCGAGACCGGATCGGACCACTGCCGCAGGTTTCCCAAGCTCGCCCTGCCAATCGAGGGTGTCGACGATGGCACCGGAGACGGAAGCGACATCGCCCCCGTCTCTGATGCCGAAGCGAGGCGCAAGGAGATCGACCGGGCCTTCCGCGAGCTCGACATCGAGACTAGCTCGCAGCGGACGCGGACCGCCTCCGACGCCTCGGTGCAGTTCACCTACGACGCAGACGCAAAGGAGCTGCCCGACTACCTCAGGCCACCAGAGCTTCCGAAGCCAGAGGCGGCAATGACGGATGGCCCGCAGCACGGCCAGGGCCGCGGCCCGCCGCAGACCCAAGAGATGCACGGCGCCCTAGGCGAGAGCGTCGTTGCGCCCGAGCGTATCAAGGGCGTGATCGACACCGCCGGTGGCCAAGAGATTGAGATCGCCCATGAGCTCCTCCTCATTGCTCTCGGATTGGGCCAGTTTAGGGCCCAGGACGGCAGCACGACCCTGTTTGAGCAAGACATGCTCTTCGGCGACACCGAGCTGCTGCCTCCAGCCGCCGAGCCCAAGGGACGAGCTCCAGCGGAATCGACCCCCTCCGCAACCTCCGCCAACGCTCAGCAGCCGCCACCATTGCCGCCCCGGAGCGGAACTTCGCAGCAGGCGGCGCAGACCGCTTCCCCCTCTTCGGCAGACCAGAACGAGGCGCTGACCTCGGTGCGATCGGCCTTGACCTCGATCAAGGCAAACACCATCACCGGCTGGGGAAAAATGTCGAGCGCAAGCAAGGACCTGATCGGCTCGGCCCGGCCTGCAGGCGAGAGGAAGGGCCCAGATAGGAGCGGGGCCCCTCAGGCGAAGAACCCCGCCAAGCCGGTCAAGCCCAGCGAGATCTGCCACTACTCGGCGCGGTCGCGCGCCATCATCTTTGTCGCCGTCGCCGCCATGGGCATCAACGGCTCGCAGGTCTGGCAGGCCGAAAAGGTCATGGCCCAGACCATCTTCTTTATCATGTCCGAAGGCAACCGCGCCTCGACCTCCAAGGACGGCAAGGACCTGCTCAACGACCTCAGGAGCGGCGCCGCGGGCCAGGGCGTGGAGAGGTCGGCCTGGATGAACGAGCACAGCGGGTCGGTCGTCGAGCGCGAAAAGGGCAACGCTAGCTGGGGCAAGTATGCTGCGATGGGCGCCGGCTTTGTCGGCGGCGGCCTGATCATCGGCCTCACTGGCGGACTCGCCGCTCCGCTCATTGCTCCGGCGCTCGTGGGTCTGACGGGGGCGTCGTTCCTGGCGACGAGCGGCGGCATCGTGCTGCTCGGGACGCTATTCGGCCTCGGCGGTGGCGGGCTGGCCGGCTACAAGGTGGAGCGGCGCCTTCGCGGCGTCTCGTCGTTCTCGTTTGCGGAGCTGCAGACCGAGGCGCGCGCGGCGGGCGTGGCGATCCCGAGCCTCCACGCCACCATCTGCTGTTCGGGCCTCTTGCTCGACGAGGCCGAACAGGTCAAGCCGTGGGAGGACATCTTCAGCACCGCCAGGGACGGCCGAGAGGCGTTCGCCATCCAGTGCGAGGCCGAGATGATGAAGGAGGCGGGCGTCGGCCTGCGCGGCTACATGATGGACCAGCTGCTGCGCAGTGGCGGACAGAAGGCCGCCGAGGAGGTCCTCAAGCGGACGGCCCTGGCTGGCCTGGCGGCCCTGACGTGAGTATCGCATTTCGGTCCGCTCGCGGCATCATTCGTGGGATCAACGGGGTTCCATCCGGCTGACATCACGACGACGACGCAACTTGCCCCTCCCGTGGTCAGACTGCCGCTGACCGTGTTTGGCGCGGCCAGCGCCACGCTCGACGGCGTCTTTGTGCGCGCCAAGACGAGAGCGCACAAGGCCGGGCTGATCCTCGCCGAGACGCTGCGCAACGAGGTGCAGGGCCACCGCCCCGTGGTGCTGGTCGGCACGTCGCTGGGCGCGGCGACGATCCTGTCGGCCCTCGTCGAGCTGGCCAAGGACTCGGAGGCCAACGCGCACCTGGTCGACTCGGTCTTTCTCATCTCTGCGCCCATCACGCCGAGCCCGGGAACGCTGAAAAAGGTCCGCAGCGTGGTGCAGCGGCGCTTCGTCAACGTCTTTTCGACAAAGGACATGGTGAGTCGGGTGGCCGCACGCCTTCCACGACCTTCAGAGAGTGGGATCCATGTCGAAGAGGGGCACGGCTTCTGACGAGTGGGCCACCGTGCCTCTCCGAACCGATCCCCATCACAGGTCTGCGGCATTGCTGCATGGCTCGGCAGCGGCATCAGCCTGGAAGAGCTGCGCGCGGGCAAGATGCCACGGGTCATTGGCAGCCGCGCCATCGAGGGCGTCGCGGGCGTCGAAAACATCAACGTGTCGGACCTCGTCGGCAGCCACTTTGAGGTCAACTCGCCCGAGAAGCTCGAGCCGGTGCTGCGGCGGTGCGGGTTGATGGAGGATTGAGTTTCGGCTCATGGTGGAATCGAGTGACATGCCCTTCGTTCTCAGAGACCTTGCTCCCTCCCTCGTGATACTGCATCGTCCATCGATGTCCTGGCCGTGCCGCTCGCTGCCCCAAAGACTGCTACTTCTCGCCGGGACGCTTGCGACCCCTCACACGGATCCGCTCTGCCGTCTGTACTCTCGGTCCCCACCTGACGTTCAAAGATGAGCGAGCGGTGGCGCATGTCAGCTGTGCTCGCGGACCGCGGTCGGGTCTCGCCGTCGGACGGTGGTGGCGCGGGACTCACCCTCGGACCTTCTTCTTTGGCTTGGGCTGGAAGGCAAACTCCTGCGGGTGCTGGCCCTGCCTGAGCTTCTCGATGGCCCAGAGGAGGTACTTTCTGTCCTTTGGACCGAGGCCGGCCTTTTTGAGGTCCTCGGACTTGACGGTGAAGATGGCGGACCAGTCTTGGCCGAGGGCGGTGACGGCCGACGAGTTGGAGGCCAGGTCGCGGCGCGGCGTCGAGATGGCGGTGAGGAACTCGACTGGCGTGCTGAGGTTGGGTCGAGGGGGCGGGATGGGCCGCGCTGCTGCTGGTGCAGCGGGCGAGGACGAGGAGAGGGTCTCCGGCAGCAAGACCGAGGCGCTCGAGGCAAAGGTGCGCAGGCGGGACGACGAGGCTACGGCCGAGGTAGCCCCCGCGGCGCGGAGAGAGATCAAGGGCAAGGAGGTTGTGGTGGCCAGGGCGATGAAGCGCCGCGTAGTGGATGTTGCAGCCGCCATCGTGGTCGTCGTCGTCGTCGTCTTCGTCGCTGCTGCGGGAGATTCAAAGCCTGGTGGCAGAGGTGAAGGGAGGCGGGAGATGCGGGAGATGGAGGCCGAGTCCAGGAACGAAGGAAGGGTCGCGGGTCGAGGTCGGACGAGGAAGACGGCTTGGGCTTGGCCCGCTGCGCATCCCAGGCGGCTGCAAAAATGCCCGATTGCTTGATGTTGCCCGCTTGCACCCGATTCGACGATTGACGGGGCGGGGCGGCCACCGAGATATGGATGCCGGCCGGCGTGGGCAGGCTGCAGGCAGGGCTGCAAGGGCCACCCGGACCACCCGAGCCAGCCAGCTGGTCGACTCTCCACCTTTGGGCCGGTCAGGCAGGCAGGCAGGCAGGCAGGCAGGCAGGCCAGGCAGGCAGGTGAGGCACCCCGTTCCCCCACGGCTCACCATCGGCCCATCCGCTAGACGACGACGACGACGACGCCTCGCTCCTCGGACCCACCGCCGGTCAACACTCTGCGCCGTCATCGCCAACTGCTTTGGCTCCCAACATCTGCCACCACAATCCCCCTCTCCGGACACTCTCTCTGCTTTTTGCTACCCGGACGTGCACCGCTGCCAGTGGCCATCGTGGGCGCAAGACTGCCTCGCCACTCTTCTGTCAACCACCATCACCGCCGCCGCTCCACCCGGCTGCCCTCGCCCTGCCCGCGGTCTGGCCATCGCCTGCTAGCTGCTACAGCCCGCTCACGCCCGCATTGTCCGCCTTGTCGCTCGCCCACGCGTCCTGGATCTCGCACCGCCTGCTAACTTCACGGTCAACCTTGCCCAACTGCTGCTCCGTATGCCGGCGACACGATTGTTCCAGCACATCATCCCTTAGCATTATCAATCACCGCCATCCGGCCCCGACCCACCGCCTGGCGATAACACCTTCGATGTGGCCTCACCCGCACTCTCGCCTCACCAGCAAAGACCGTCTCATATAGACCGCAGCACGTTTCTGTGGACGGCCCAACGAGCTCCCTGCCAATCGAGCCCGTCCGCCAGCATGTCAAAGGCGACGACCTCCTCGTCGGCCTTTGGCTTCGACGACGACGACGAGTGGCAGTCGATGCCCGTCGAGTCGTCCGCCGCAGCGGAAGACTTCGTCAAGCCCGACAGCTACGCCAACCCCGGAGACCTCCCCTACGGCGACGAGGACGACGACTCCTCGGATCCAGACGATCCCCGCCGCTTCCAGTCGTGGCCCTCACGGTCCGCCAGGAGTGCAAGCGCCACGGCCTTAAAAGCGGGCTCCGCGACCACCCCCGGCAAGGCAAAGAAGGGCTGGATACGGTCACGCTTTGCCTCGGGATCGACCGCGTCCGCGTCGGCAGCCACAGCATCTTCGTCGTCGGCAGGTCCCGCCAGCGGTCACCACCACCAGCGAGCCCAGTCGGCGGCCACGAACGCCACTGGACGACACCTCAACATCGACGATGCCCGAGGCTACGACTGGCGGTCCAAGCCCGCCGGCACCTCGTCTGACAGCGATGACGACGACGGAGGCAAGGAAAAGGGCTACACGCAGCTCAGGCTCGACGAGGACGACGAGTCGGAGCAGCTGCACGCTGCGACCGAATATCTCTTCCAGGACGGCTCCGGAGGCATCAACGGGCGTCACGACCCCTACGGCGAGGGGACGGCCGCCACCCCGCTCAACCAGATGAAGACGACCAAGCAGCTGCTGTCCGAGGGGCAGAAGATCGCCTACGTTGGCCTCTGCAGCCTCGCCGCCGCCGGGCTCGTGAGGATGATCACCCGAGTCCCAGGCAAGGAGCTCAACAGCGCCAAGGAAAGCATCGAGAGCTGGAAGGTCAAGGTCATGGCACGGCTCTACCAGCACATGGACATCGAAGCGAGCGGTGAGTATCGGCCCAAGCTGCATAGAGCTGCTCTGTGGGCACGCCGTAGCTGACTTTCCTCACCGCCTTTCAACGACCTTTCTTGACCGCTCTCAGAGCAAACGATGATCGAGTCGCTGGCGACGCACGGCGTGCTGCCGACCGATCTGGCCCCTTCGCTCATCACGACGCAGACGATCCAGAACCCGGAGTTTGACCCGGAAGCGCTGCGGGAGCGGCAAGAAGACGAAAAGGAAGAAAAGGCGCGGCAGGAGCGGGAGGATGCCTTCAAGAGGGACAGGGAGGAGGAGCGAGCTCAGGCGGAACAGCTGGTCAGCGGCAACGCCGCGTTGTCTGCAAGCGACGCTCCGTCGGCGCCACAAGAGCGCGGCGAGTCGGCGTCTCCGACGCAGGACGCCCCTCAGCAGGACAGCGAGCTCAGCGAGGATCCCTCGCGGTACGAAGCAGACGTGGCCGAGGCCTCCGCGCCAGGCCCTGACGCACCTGTCAAGGAGTCGGAAGAGGACGGCGACATCGGTGCGCCCGCTGGAAACGATATCGGACCCGACGTGCCCGAAGAGGCGGACCTCGGCGACCTTGGCGACGTTGGCACGTCGGACGAGCCCGCTGGCAAGCACGATGCGCCCAAGTCGAAGCGGACTATCCTGCCGGCGACCTCTCAGCTCGACGGCGACATCGGCACGTCTGCTGACGCCGATGCCGACGCCGAGGTCGATCTTGGGGACATCGGCAGGCCTTCGTCGACGACGGCAGCCAACGCCCAGGATGGTGTCCCGGAGCCCAGTCCACCTTCAGGCGGTGCCGACGCCGATGCAGGTCCGGCTACGCCCAAGGCAGGAGTTGCGCCGCTTCCGACGCCGAGGCCAGGCAGCATCCCGGACGCGCCGGGCACCACCGCCACCGCGGACAAGCCCATCCTGGCCGACCCCAACACGGCGTCGCAGCTCGGCAATGCCATCGACGCCAGCGCTGCCTTGCAGCCCGCCGCAGCCCGAGCACCCACGGCGAGCGAGGGCAATACGACGACGCTGGGCCTGACCAAGCAGCCAGAGGCGCTGGAGCCGCCGCCCGGCGCGCTAGACGGCGTGACGACGTCGATCAGCAGCGCCGACGAGACCATCACGCTCGACCTCCGCTGGACGGTGTTGTGCGACCTCTTCCTCGTTCTGACGGCCGACAGCGTGTACGACGCGCGTTCGCGTACGCTGCTCGAGACGGTGGCCTCGTACCTGGGCCTCACCTGGATGGACGTGACCAAGTTTGAGAAGCGCATCACCGACGCGCTCGAGATCGAGGAGGGCGTCGAGAGCCTCAAGGACACGGGCGCGCTCGACCGGCGCACGCAGATGGCGCGCAAGAAGCGCATCATGATGGTCGGCCTCGCCACCGTCGGCGGCGGTCTGGTCATTGGTCTGTCGGCCGGCCTGCTGGCCCCCGTAATCGGAGCGGGTGTGGGCGCAGCGCTGGGCGCCGTGGGCATCGGCGGCACCTCGGGCTTCTTGGGCGGCGTGGGCGGCGCGGCGCTCATCACCACCACGGGCACCGTCGGCGGCATGAGCCTTGGCGGCCGCGGCATGAGCCGCAGGACGCGCAGCGTCAAGACGTTTGAGTTCAAGTCGATCCACAACAACAAGCGCGTCAACGCCATTGTGACGGTGCCAGGGTGAGCATTCCGGTATTCCTAGACTGCCCCGCGCTGCCGCTCGGGTGCATGTTGCTAATCCGCACCGGCCCCATTCTCTGCCGACCGACCGCCAGCTTCATGAGCGGCCCGCAAGACGACGTTCGGCTGCCGTTCAGCGTCATCGACTCGATCATGGGCGACGTCTTTAGCGTCCTGTGGGAGCCCGACATGATGCAGGAGATGGGCAATGCGCTTGGCATCCTCTGGAACGAGACGCTGGTCCAGGGGGTCCAGCAGGTGCTTGCCGCCACTGTGGCGGGCGCCATGTTCAGCGCGCTCGCCTGGCCGCTCTGGCTGACCAAGCTGGGCTACCTCATCGACAACCCGTGGTCCAATGCGCTCGACCGAGCCAAGGCAGCGGGCTATATCCTTGCCGATATCCTCTCACGCCGCCAGCTCGGCGTGCGGCCCATCACCTTGGTCGGCTACAGCCTCGGCGCCCGGGCCATCTTCTACTGCCTCGTCGAGCTGGCTCGCCTCAAGGCGTATGGCATCGTCCAGAACGTCTACATCATGGGCGCCCCCGTGACGGCCAAGGACGAGGTGTGGAAGGAGGCCCGGAGCGTCGTGGCCGGTCGTTTCGTCAGTGCCTTTTCCCGCACCGACTGGATTCTGGGCTACCTCCACCGCGCCGCCTCGGGTGGCCTGCGGAGCATCGCCGGACTCCATCCCGTCGAGCGGGTTCAGGAGATCGAAAACGTCGACGTCACCCACGTCGTGCCTGGCCACCTCCAGTACCGCGCGCTGATGCCGCTGGTGCTCAGCGAGCTCGGCTTCAAGACGACGGCCGACTACTTTGACGAGCCAGAGGACCTCACCAAGGTGCCCGAGCGCCAGGTCGTGCGTGAAGACAGCGAGTACGAGCTCAAGACGGTGCAGACGCAGTCGGGCGGCTTTGGCAAGATCTGGAAGCGCAAGGGCAGGGGCGACGTCAGCGGCAGCAACTCGGGCACCGCCTCGCCGTCGCGCACGACGCCGGGCACCCCCGCAGGCGGCCGCACCTCGTACGAGTACGACGAGTACGACGACGACGACGACTTGCCCCCTCGGGAAGAGGCGTCGCCGCCGCCGCCGCCGCCGCCGCCGCCGCCAGCGTCCGCAAGTCCGG